TCATCGTAGTGTTGGAATTTTTCATCTCGCCATCCTTAAATTTGATTGCCGCGTCAGCTGAAAGAAAAGCGGCAAATTAACCGGGCGGTTGTTTTTTTGCATGTGCGAGTGGGACTTGTACGAGGCAAGACCATGTTCCGGTATCGTGGATTGACAGCAGCAAGGGACGCCCCTGCATGTTCAACGTCCAGGGTTTGTTAATGCAAATCGGCGGCTGCTTCACCGAGTTTTTACTTACTTGTACATGGACTGGGTACTTGCTAGTCCATTTCTGGCCTCGTGGTCACGTGAACATAACCGTTGGCCTTTGCGGCTCGCACGGGAAGTCTCAGTGAAGTCTTATTTTATTTGTGCAAAAACCAATCAGCTACTACTGCAATCTGTCAATATCGAACCACTCACGGGAAGATGGATGGATTCCGAATTGGGATGGAAATCTGTGATATTAATTAGCTTTGCTTGTTGGCAAAACCCTTTTGTTCTCTTGCTATGACTGTGAACAGATACATACTTCTGTACATCTGCTGATCTTTGCATGCAGCCTTTGTCCCGTGCTCCACCAACCAGCCTCGTTCCTGGGGGACCAATGGATACCTAGACTTTCTGATCATCCTGCAACGGCACTATATGATTCCCTTCTCCGTGGCCATTGAAGCAGCCAATTGCAGCCGCGGCAATTTCAGCGGGAATCGAGAGACCGGTCACACCTACAGAGTCAGAGAGCGGGTTCGAAGAATCCAGGCTCCCTCGCTTCGAACCGAGCCCTGCTGGTCGTTTACCAACAGTTGCTTCTTTGTCTGGCCCATACTGAGATGGGTTGTTCCATAGCAAGCAGCAGGCGAGACCACCGGAGCATCCGGTGGCGGTTCGCTGCGCTGGCCCCGTGTCTCAGACTCTCAGCAGCCACATCGCCCGCAAACGACTAGGTGTGTATGTACCCCACAATATCAGGCATGTTCTAGGCCCCTTTCCTTGCCCTTTCCTACAGTTCTGGACACGACGATGGTCGAATATGTGAGTTACCTCTTTCCGGCCACGGATCGCTGCTTCCTGCTACAAGTAGTTGCAAGGATGAACACATTACCGGGTACTGTGTGTGGGGTAAACCTACTTGTAGAGTACATCATGGCCTGGTACCTGTGAACAGTGCCTCGGCCGCAGCCTCACATGATGTCCGGCCCGCCTCACATCACGTTTTAAGTTTGCTTCCATTATTTTGATCTCCATGTTTGATCTCCGTCTTTGATCCTGTTCGCCTGCTCGGCCTTTGAACGTCAGCAGATTTGAAAATTCTGGCCAAGAGGTAGGGCTACGGTGGGGTTATTTTCCCCTTTCCCTTTCTTTGCTTTTCTCTTCTCGTGATTCTCAGTCCAACTAACAAGTACAATTTGGCTATGCGCTCCTCCGCATCTCCGGACCTCTCCCTTCCCCCTCTCCTACTCCACACGTACGTACTTTGTCGTTACATCTCATTTTCCAACGTCCACCTGACTTCGATGGCGGGATGAAGCGAACAAATCTTCGAGCATGACCATGAACCCTGACCCTGATCCTCACCCTACCGTCCTATTTCCCCAGGTTCTTCTTATGCCTCCAGTCCCAAATGAGAGGGGGGCATGTGAGGGCTCGGCCTTACCTTGCCTTGCCTTGCCTTGCCTCTTTCCTTTTCTTCTCTCTCCGAAGATTGTACCAAGTAATGCGTAACCCGGAACGGACTAACGGAGACACCGTGGGAAATGCTCAGGGTCGAGATATTTCCAACCCCCCCCCCCCCGGTGCTCCAAAATCCCAAGTCCCAGTCCAGTCCAGTTCAGGTACCTCGTACTCCGTACCTTTTTATGTACCTTGGGGGGCGCCATACGTTCCGCTACTCGTGACATAAGCTTTTGGCTACCTATTAGTGCCTCTAGGTAACTTGAAACAATGGGCTTTTCCAGGACTACTTCTCTTTGCAGGTAATACCCAGTACGGTAGGGACTGCGGTAGCTATGTACAGCCTGGGCGAGGCAAGGACGGCTTGCCATGTACGGGGCTACCTCTACACACCCTAGGTATTTGGCTAGGTACTTGTAGGTAGCGGCAGGGACCAGGTACCAGCCTCGGTACCTCATCCGGGTGCCCTATCCGTCCGTAGGTACGTACCTCGGTACCTAACCACGGACAAATCTCACATCCGCTTATGTGTCTCCTCTGTTCGTCTTGGTTCTTCTTCGATGACTTTCTTTCTGCTCACCAGCCTCACCCTCTCCTTCTCACTCTCATCATCTTTCTCCATTAACCTCTCCCGTGTCGCGAACTCGTATTCTATGACTACGTAATGGATGTATTAACGGGGGGGATGACGGGATAAGTAAAGTTGACAGGACAACCTCCGTCTTGGCCGCGGCAAATTGTCATCGTTAGCCTCTTCCTCCACCACCATCACGAACTTTGTTCCGCTCATTACCGGGTACCCTTCTTCATTCTCCCGAGTGCCTACCTCCCGGCCATATTCCATTCTCACATTCTCCCATCCTTCCATTTCCCCCGGTTGCCTTTCCGTCTCCTCCTCTTAGCCAAGTAAGCGGCTGGCGAGGCGACGCTTAATCATCTCCCCGCTTGCCGTGCCACGTATTATGTGTTCAGTCCGGTGTGGTGTGGAGCATTGTCTTTTCGTTGGTCCTGCTTTGTGTTTGTTGTTCTTCGGTGACCTGGCCCTATACTATAAGGGTTGAATGTGCGGAGACCGCAAAAGCCGTGAAACAAACCCATCGTCTCGTCATTCGCATCGCACCGAGCCAGAAAAGAACTGCCGACGAAAAGGAAAAGGTGTCAACAAGGGCTGTCTACCATGGAACAACAACGACAACATCTTTTAGCCGAAACCCCCATTCGGAAATTTGTAGGTAGTCCTATTAGTACCGCGGCCTGCGACGATTTACATGTTTTCCAATTTTCTTGGCCTTTTGATTATGGATTTGCCGTGCTCTTCATTATTGATCGAGTGCGTATAGATGGGCCGAGAAGATGAGAATGGGGATGGGTCACATGGCCGCCTTCTCCTCGGGAACATCCATTTCCTCTTTTGACCTTCTTTTCGTGCTTTGACTTCTTTCTCCGGTCCTGAATGAATCCTACTGCACCGCTCCCGTTACTAACTGGTCTGCGTGTGTATTCACATATGGGTGTGCGGGCATGTATGTGTCTGTCACAGGGCGAAAAAAAAAAAGAACAACAACCACCACCACCACCCATGGCGGACTCGCCTTTTCGGATAAAAGTCAGCATATAGCACGGGACTGACTGACTTGGTTAGTTTAGCTAGACTAGCTAGCTGGAAACGTTTCAAGTGACCAGCCAAGAATGCAGGCTAGAGAATTGCTCGCTCGTTGCGCTGGCTTCGCTTGCTCTCCCGATGTCGGGTCGGGTCAGGCATCAATCCCATCAACCCAACAAGAGAGAAACAAGCCGAGGGATGGAATAGGACAAGGAGAAAAAAGGGCCGACCCAAACCACACACAGCCAAAAAGAAATCCCCCGTTTCAGCCTCACGAATACTACGGCCGCGCCCGAGCATTTTCTTCAGGTCATCGGGCATGCACTAAATGCTCAACACATTCTACCTATAGGCAGGCAGGTAGAGTTCCTTCCGCTCGCAAGAGGGACCCCCCACCCCTTCATGGATTTCATTATTTCATTTTGGTGTTATTTCGGAGTCTTTTTCCCGAATCCCCTCGACCAATTATTACCGTGGGCGGTTTTCGTCTTCGCCTTTGCCTTCATTTGGTCGGTCGGTCGGTCGGTCGCCTTCCCTTTCCCCATCCATCCATCCATCCATCCCCTGATTCCATACCAAACCAGGAGACGAGACTAGACCAGACCAGATGGAGACGGCGGCCCCAGACCGCAATCGCTTCGGCACTTGTTTCTGAAGAGCAGTGGGAAAAAGAATAGCTAGAGAAGGAGGGAGAGAAAGGGAAAAAAAAAAGGCGAGAGAAAAAAAGAAGGCAAAAAAAAAAAAAGAAAAGGGCGGGGACACCCTGGTATGGATGTTGTACTGCCATGTAGTATGTAGTAATAGGTGGTACGTCATACTACCACACATGTACTCCCCGTACTCCATAGGTACCTTCTTGTAGACATGGTTACTCCATAATAGTACGCAGTCGAGACCTCCTACCTACTAGGTACATACCCAGGTAAGCAAGATACCCAAGGTGGCCACCCACTCACTGACTCGGACAAGTAGAGAGAAGTAACCTGGCACCCACAATGTTTGCCTTCCTCCACATATTCACGTGGCAAACGAGCTCTGTCCATGGCCAGTCAGCCGGGCACAAAAGGTACTTATTCCGCGGTACTGACTACTTTGTTACTCACATGAACACACCGCCATGCATCAGAGTGGGCAACGTGGACAGGTCATCAATGCCATGTCAGACATGCCGCTGCGGCCAATCACAACAGCCCTCATCATTCAAAACAAAAACTGTTCGTGTTACCTGATCATATTATGTGCTTGCAGAAAGCGTCAAGAAAAGATGATTTGTCACGTCTCATTGGATCTCTGCTGATGGTACATGTTCACTCGCTTTTCCTCTCCTCAGCCAACTACATACCACCAAACTAGCCCGAGCTATCTGGTAGAATCCTAGTATAGTACAAATCTGGATGAATCAGAGCGTTACCCATTGACGAGCCAATAGCTCTTCCGTAGCGTTGAGGTCAGGTGTATCTAGCTCCATTCATCGAACACGATGGGGAAAAAAATGCCGGTCACTTTTGAGCCGCCCTCGATAAAAGAGTAATGGTCCGAAATGCGCCTTTGTACATGGATGGGGCCAGGGCCTCACCATCCTTGCCGTTTTCCGGACTTGCCAATCGTAAAGTGTGGTGTAAATGGTCGTAAAGCACATTAACAACATAGCCCCGCTCAGAACGCAGACAGGGAAAAAAAAAAGCCGAACAAAGAACATCAAAAACTCATCAAGAGGTGATGAAAGACGCTCGCTGACCCAGGCCTACCAGCCTTTGGTATGGTACTCCCAAGTGTTATCAAACGTCCAGGCGTCGTCCTTGGACGAGTCCACCACGGGGGCCACGGCCTGGACAGGAGGGCCTCCAGCTTGGGCAGCACAGGAGAGATTCGCCATCGACTGGGCATTTCTGCTACGCTTGAGAAAAGCATTGACAGTTTGAGACTTCTGCTGTCTCTCCCAGAGCAGGTTCTTGCGTAGAGATTCGGTCAATTCGGTCGACAGCATGTTACGTCTTGTCGTCCGTGGCGAATGGGCCACAGGTTTGGAGGATGATTTGGGGGGTGGAATGGCGATTGGTGGCCGGTTTGACGTTTGCATCATCATGCCGTCCTCCTCATCAGGTGAGTTGGCGTATGAGGCGCCTTGTGGAGGCGACGTTTGCCTTGGTCGATGTAGTGTGGGTTGAGAATATGCGTGTGCTAGGCCTGCTTGGCCTTTATTCAAGGCCAAAGTCAGCATGGAGCGGCGCGATGGCAAGACACTGCGGCTATCGACACGCCGGAAAAGATGGGGTTCTTGGACAGCCTTGCCATCATCCGAAGTTGAGTCTTCCCAGTCATCGCCGTCTTCCTCGTCCTCGTCAATGGCTGATTCCATAACTTCGTCAGTATCGTCCTCCTCGTCGCTGCTTGCGATGGCTCCTTCGTCGTTTTCGGCGTCTTCTTGGATTCTCCGCTCGGCAACGACATCTCGGAAAGAAGTTCTCTTGGGCGGCAAATCACTCTTGCGCTCCGACAGGTTCTGTTTGCTCAGACTTTGAGACAGTGAGCTTCTTTGAGGAGGAGCTCTGAGAGACAGCACTCGCTGCTCGAATGAAGATTCGTCATCCTCGGAAGAGCCCCCCAGCGTGAACATGGCCGTCGATTTGAGGGCACCTTTGGCTTGAGGGATGAGCTTGGACGGAGCGAGGGGCTTCATACCCGAGCTGGTAGTGCGCGAACGACACGAGGAGGCAACGGGAGAAAAGCCATGGACCACGGAACCACTTGGAATTAGGCCGTCCGAGGAGACCGAAGTGTCGGAATCACGATGCTCGCTCTGACGAGCTGTGCTTAATGTTGTGGTGGTGGTATTGGAGAGACATGAGTTGGTGGAATCTTGGAGATTTTTCATCCCCGTGCGAGGCGGTGCTTCTGCTTCGTTGTCTTGTTTGTCCGATATCTGCTCTCCAAGGGTTGGCACTTTCGTGAACGGGCGGCTGGCCTCGAGTGAAGGAGATAGAGGACATAGATCGGTCTTGTCTTGGATCGAAGCCACAATTTTTTCCAGTGTGAGGGGACTCAGATGTCGAGACTTTGAGAGGGAGCTGGAGCAGTCGTCCTGTGGCGGGGATCGGGACCGGCACCTATTCCTGGCGGGGGCTGGGCTGCATCGTCCCTCGCTGAGACTGTCATTTGACGACCATGAATTTGAGAGCGACGGCACCTGGCTGGCCCTCGGTGGAGGGGAGTCGATGGGGGTCACACATAATGACTCTCGCGACCATATCCGCCAACTCAAGTTTTCTAACCGCGGACCCTCGTCCAGCGTTTCTGAGCACTTGGAGAACATGGACCACATTGCCATTAAACTGCAGGCATTTGACGGATCGATATGGTGCATCTTGCCCCTGTCCAGGTATAGGACATGCGGGATTTTACGCGGCGGCATTTTGATGGGAGACTTCGTCAAGAGGGCAGGAGAGGAGACGAGGTCGTTTCAGACGCCGAACAAGGGATTCTGAGAGGGATAAAGTAAGGAGGACGGTGCTGGCGCTGGCAGAAGTTGCAGTCCGCAAACGGGTGGGAGAATTTGGTGGGATCGGCTTGTGTGACGCAATGCGAAACCTCGGGCCGATCAAGAACGGACGTGTTCAGAGGAATTGACCCAGCGGACAAGTTGAGGAGTCGAGGGGGGAGGGCGAGATAAAGGATGGGTGAGACGGAAATTGAGGTCGAACAAGTTGGTGTATCGACGAGGGAGAGTGTGTGCGGTGGTGGTGGTGTTGGAGGTATGTGAATTGAGTGAGTGAGTGAGTGTATGTGTGTGTGTGTGTGTGAGAGCGCGGTTGTGAAGAAATGGTGATGGGGCTTTGCGGATGGGGACGCTCGGTATAAGGACCACAAGTCCGGACCAGGTGTGTGCAACTTGCAGGGGGTGGGCGTCGAGGTGATGAGTTGCAGAAGGAGCAAGAGACCAGGGCACAAGGCCCGAAAAAAGCGAGCAGGGGTGCGAGTGCTGGCGCATGAGGTGGACACTGCTCTGCCACCAGTGCTCGGGTGGACAGACCAGAGTTCGAGAGGGCGAGAGACTCCTGCTGCTAGCCAGGTGAGAAAGGTGACTGCAGATTTACGTCCTTCACTAGGTGGTTATTGGGTAATGGTGCAAGGTTCGAGACACGAGGCAAAAAAGTGGGAGAAAGCCTAGAAAGGACAAGGGGGAAAGGAGAGCTCTAGCCTAACCGGCCAGAGGGATTAGGTACTCACAAGAGGAATTGGGGGACACCGAGGGGCGGCAAAAGATGTTTTGGCAGCCCAAAGACCCCAAGGTTTAGTGAATACACTAAATCCACTGGTATCAGATGTAATGACCGAAATCGGTACCGGCTGGGAGCGAGTGGCCCCCCCGAAGTCCAGGAGCGAGGAGACCGACAATGACTCGGGGAGTGCTCGGAGCTGATTGACGGCTCCTTTGGGGGGGGGGGGAAATGGGGTCGCGCGGGCCTGGGATTGGGGGATCCATCACCACCTCTTGGGTGCCACCAGGGCACCACCCACACAGCCCATCTTGCATCTTTCTTGGGAGTCCGATCACCTAAACCGCCCGATAGACAGGCAAGCTAGGCATCAAAGCTGCTGTGGCCAGGCATCAAAGACGGAGTATCGACTCGACCGTCAGGGAAATCTTTGTTATTCTCTGTCGAAATCGCCGGAGATACAAAAGTGTCGTACCTGGCCACTCATCAACCACATAACAAGTACAAGTAATGACTGACATGTGAGACAAAGGGATCAATGTATTCGTGGGCCCTGTCGCAAGGTCTCGAAGCCGTTCCTGTGGGTTCCAAGGCTGGTCACATGCCAATAATAATATTTGCCCTGGTGCAATGGGGGTTTGTTTTTGCCTCAGCCACACATCTGGCCCTTTCTACTTGGTACCCAGTACCTATGGACTTCCCATACCACCGGCTCCGCTACGCCTACGAGACTCGAGTGCAACGTCGATACACACTTCTAGGGCACAGTTAGCGACTGGCTGAGTCGTAACCTTTGAATGTTTGATTTGTACCAGGTTCGCTAAGGGTGTCAATGTGACTGACCAACATAACCAACCCTGACAAGTACTACCACAAAAGTCTCAAGGCTCAACCATGCTCTCCTCGTACGATTATAGGGAGATCCCAAAATTCGTCAAGCCAGCTGACTCGACTCGAACGAATGGAAATCACTCGATTCTCATACTGCGGCGATTGGCGGAGAAAGAGGTGAAGGCTGAATCCCACCAAAAAGGTAATCTCTCCCAGCCACTACTTACTTGTACAAGTACAGGGATATTGCACCACGACACACCAAACACCAGGGAGGAGGACCTACCCAGTACGGAGCAGGTCGAGTAAGCATGTCACCCTTCCACAGCGCGTTTCCGCTTCCCCGTTGACGCTACCTGGGGCAAGAGCTTCTCCATAAGCGCGTTGCAAGAAAATGCCCATCAACAGGGCCAAAAGGGAAAAACAAAGACGGTAAGTGGTCCGGAGACGAGGTCAGCTGGACATCAAACAGAAGAGGGATCTTTTCCGATCCGCACGTGGAACTGAGAACCTGAACCTTGGCTGCTGCCCGCCAGCTCTCAAATCTTGCTTTGACATGTGCCCTACAAGGAGGTGGTGACGCAGAGAAAATCATTTCCTTACGTATCCGACTTACCTCACACCCGTCTGGTTTTATTGTTGTCGTTGTTGTTCAAAAACATGCCGATGCGACAGTCCATGTCGCTCCCGAACTGGCTGGCATACTGGGTGTGTGGTTCTGTGGCCACCAAGATAAAGCCTAAGAAGATAGCGTTTTTTGAACTGGGAAAATGTGGAATCTTTGTCGTTCCGACGCTCTGGCACCGATCAACCCTCCGGAAGCAGCCATGTACTCACCGGGCAACTGTCGACCAATTTCCACGCCTTGTTCGGATGGCACGAGCGTCTTTCTGTGCAGCATGCCATGCTACCTTCTGGGTCCAGAGAATTGATCTACTGTACATTACTCCGTATTTTTTTTGCTATGCATGCTGCATGCGGTCGAACGATTCAAATCAGCCGCCCTTCCTCCCCCCCCCTTTGCGCCCAGCAAGTTTAGAGAGCAGCCTTGGAGCAGCCACACTGTAATGTATCGCATCCGACTCGAGTTTCACGTCTCGGCATTCGGTTAGGGCCCTGCCTCCCATGCGTTTGTGGCTTAAAGGCGTCCATTCAATGGCATCCGCGGCCCTCTCTCCCTCGGGGCTTTTGCTGCAGTCGTGGTTAAATGAACGAACTTCCTCTCCATTCGCTGGCTCTTTTTTCCTTGGATGCTAGCTGCGCAAAACATTTCGCCGTCTTTTGTGTGCAATCCCCTCGCAACTACATAACCTGCCATCACATCTCAAGGTCGTTCCGGTCGAAAAACGGTCACGCTACCACCACCAACAAGGCCGAGCACAATTTAGCAAGTGATCGGCCTGTCGAGACAAGCCTCCGTCTCGAAAGGGAAGAGCAACTTGTCGATTCAGCAAATCCTGACGCAGAACAAACCCTCCGGGCAACCTTTCGCACACTATCCCATTGCTGGAGCTCCCCCGGACACCGGCTTTCACCTGGTTCAATAGTATGTGGGACACTCGGAACCGCACAACCGCAAACCGTTGTCCCGGAGCTGGCGCCGACCAGCGAATGGGGTGGGACCTGTCGCTTCTGATGGCTCAAACCTACTAACTCCTGGTTGTTTAAAGTTCTCTTCCTGAGTCCTTCCCCATGGCTGCTTATTACCAGTACTTGCTTGTGCTGGTGCTCGGCGCGGTCGGTGCAGCTGCCAGCTGCTGAGTCCCCTCGCCCCCGCGGAACAAGTCTTTGCATATGCCGGACATGGCGTGGAACCGGGACTCTCATTTCCTTGGTGGTCACTCAAACACTTGCAGAAGCAGGGGGCCATCTCACGGAAGGTGTCATAGTGTCCCACATGCAGGCAGCCCACTCGCCGCTCCCCAGCCCAAAACTCGTCATGAGCGGCATCTCGGAGAGGTCACTGACGATCTGGTAGGCTACTCGCTTCTCGCAGCCTTGCCATTCGTGCAACTCCCTCGTATCGCGAGAGCACAGTCGTCACTGCCAACATGCACATTGTTCCTTTTGGGCCATAACCCTCCCTGGAGGTGGCGTTTTAAGGCGTCTCTTGGAAGTCAACTTCCATCCCTCCTTTACATTGCTCTAAGTTACCCCATGTAACCCCCTTTCATTGCCCTTGCGCAACCCTGTGCTTGCCCTGTGTCATGCTCTGAGCGAATGCTTCTCGCTTTCCAATCTCAGTGTCTCAGGTCTGCCCTACTCTTTCGCACTAGATCTCCATAACCGTGACTAATCCGAACTACCTCGTACCTCACCACCAGTCGCCGAAGCTTCTTCGCCAAATGCTTCATCCGAAGTTTGAATCGCGACCTGACATCCGGAAATGCGCTCAGTGGCCCAAGGTTGGGTTGAGTTCTCGGCGACAGTCCAAAGGCCTTGTCTGCCGTCATCAGCGATGATCCTCCCCTTTGCTTGGCTCTGTGACTACATTCACATCTCCTGCAGCACTGGCACGGCGGCGAGGAGACCTTTTCTTTCATTACACATGGCCCTGGTATTTCTGCGTCAGCGGATCCATACCCCGTACACACAAGGGCATATTGATGGGGACGTTGGAAGGCGTGTCCTTGCTTCCCCAGATCTTCCAGCCTGATCTCACATATGACACGGCCACTGATTCCTTCTTTTCCCATCCGATATGCCTTTCGCTCTTACTCGCTTACACTGTTCTTGCAGATGAGAGGGATCTTTAGTCCCAGCCAACACTAATGCTCGCTAGGGTCTCTTTTCCGACCTAGATAATGTGACCACACCGTCGGGAATGAGGCCCAAAGTTTTGCCGTCGTGGGAGAATCGGTCAACAACGCCGACGCACGCTTGCGCATTTGATTGTTGACGGCGTCGAAGTTTGATCTTCGTATTCCCCAGTGGGCTTGGGTCGATCTCTAGACCAAAAAAGAAAAGAACCAGGTCAGTTCGTGATTTTCTTTCATGTATCTGATATACGGGGTACTGTCACGGGACAAACCAAGGAGAGAGGAACAGAGCCATTCCAGTTCCGCACGACCGAGACGCATTCGGTCAGGGAGTGGCAAGGCATGGGGCGGCATGGCTTTTTCAACCTCGTTTCCTCCAAGCCACGGACTGGATAAGCCAGGACAGGCCCGGCGTGTCAAAATATTCGGCATCATTCTAGCTGTCTGTCTCTGGAGATGGGGAAAGTTTCTCATACGCATCTAGAATCGACTCGGCAAACGGGGATGGGACCATTCGCTCCCCCTTGCATAAATAACACACATGACAAGCAACTCGCCCGCCCCTTTGCGCAACGTCAACGAAATCGTATCGAAATTTGACAGAG